GAGAATGCTTGCGAATTGTCTGACCAATAACGGAGCTTGCGCTATTGAACTTATGGAAACCATGAGAAGCGGAGTTTATAACCTGCCACACGCCGATTGACTGTGACCGCCGGTTGGACCAATGTTAAATATAATAATAATACAGGTGCTGACGATTTGCTTAATATGATAATTATTACAGATGTATGGTGGTGGTTGTTTGTTAATATCAACTATTCTTATCTAAAAGTGTTTTAATCAGTCATTTGTTTTGCGGGATAATTCGCCACGCATAAGTAATTCGCCTTGCGCTTTCAGCTATATGAACAAAATCTTCAAAGTGCGCATAAGTTAGTTCAGAGCATGGCCAAATTGGCAACTTTCAAACTCCCAAAAATTTGCCAAAAAAGATCGGAGGTCAAATATCTTTTTTAAATTTGATTTCAGGGAGTCGATATCTCCAATGAGCGATAAAAAAATTGTTAAGAACTACTTCGATTGCCGAAAACTGACAGAATAAAAAAACACCAAGCATAAATATTCCGTTTTCTTCGAAAGTCGGGACAATAATCAAATCACGAAAATAGCCAACAGACAGGTGAAAAAGAGCCAATGAACTCAAGGGAACAGAAAAAAAAATACCGACTTTTTGTAAACACTTCAACTTTTCTTTAACTCTAAAGTAAATAGACTTGATGATCTTTGTATTTCCAAGACAAATTTATGATTGACACTTTTCTGACAAAATCAACTCAATTTGAGAAAACTGGACCAATGTTTTGATTCCGATGAGAAGCCTTAGTTTAAATTCATGCTAAGATTTGAAACATTAACTTTGGGTTTGCTTCCAAGGAAATCACATTCGAACCCTTCCTAGATTTCAATAACGATGTTCAACTTAAAATAGGACGACCAGTAGAAGAAAAAACATGAGCTAAGTAAACCATTATCGAGTCTTCAAAATATAAGAAATTATTTAGAAAACATTGCCAACAGACAGTTGGTGAAGAGTCAAAGGAAACAAAAAAATGCTGCAATGCTGAACATAAATCTCTTAAAAAAATTTAAAAACTTTTTATTAAACTAGCCCAATTTGAGAAAAAGGGATCAAAGAGTAAAATTTTATATTTTGCTGGGAAATCTGAAGAAAACTACATTTTTGAAGCTAGAAATCGATCTTAATTTTCGTGACCTTTACATTTTCGCTGTTCGATAGTCGAGTTTCTTTTTCTTTTAGCAAAGGAGATGAAACAATTTAAACAGCAAAACCAGAAGTAACGCAAAAAAAATCAAAATTGAGCGTAAAATTTAAAATAAAAATAAAAAACTATCATCACGACCTATATAATAGTCTTCACTGCGTTCATTGACACTTAGGTAGCGCGTAACTCATACCTACAATTCATCAAAAACTAATAAATGAGAAATTTTTTTCTCAAACCTAAAAAATAGGCTGGGGCTTTCAACAGTTTTTCCTTTTTCTAATTTGAATAATTTCAATTTAAAACGAAAACTCCTGAGTTTTTCAGATTTCAAAACAATATTGGGTAAACAGTTTTATTCCTGGATCGCTTTTGCAAAAACGTGCAGTTTGCTGAATCTGCCTAAAAAACAACAGAAAATCTGGTTTAAAAAGCAAATCTGATTAAAAGAACAAGGATTGAATTTTCGTTTCATCTAAATAACCTAACACGGAGCTTCGTGTTTCACCTGATTACCAATTACTGAAGGTACCCCCACTGAAGGTTCTTCAAATTAATCGACTAGTAATATTGACTTATCCATATACTAAAGCAGTAAGTAAGTATTCATTCCGATAGTTTTGGAGATCACCGCACCATTTGCTGATACTTTTCAACACTACACACAATATCTGGCCACAAACCAACCAAAACATAGACAAACAAAATAGATTGACAAAACTTTTTACAGACGCGACGCGGAGCTTCGCACCACTTGCGATAAAACAAAAATAGCAGTGCAAGCTAGCAGACAGGAAAAGAAAGCCCTTAACTCCCAAAAAATTTTTTAAGAAAATTCAAAAAACCACAAAAAAACTCAAAATTTTGCCTGGAATCATGTTTTTTTTTTGCAGAAAATACGTCTAGCAAAACAATTGACGGCAATAAACGAAAATTCAAAAAGTAATCAACAAGCGACCACAGAGCCGAAGAAACTTAAATAATTTCATGCAGAACGGAAAAATTAATTGGTGTCATGAAAAACTTTAAACTATATTATTCTGTGCAATCCTTGAATAAGTTCACTACGCCGATAAAATATACGCCCAAAAAATTTAAGCCCAATATAATTTTTAAGCAAAAACAAAAAAAATATTCATAGTCAAGGCTAATAAAAATAAAAATTGCAGGAGTTATTCAGAACACTTAAAACTACAATGAAAATTGCGTACAAGAAATCAATTCTACGATGTGGCAACTGAGCTGACAAAACATAAGCCTATAGGCAGACATTTTTTGGAAATGAACATTTCCAATTTGAAAAAAAAACAGTTCCAGGTCAGATTCGAACCCACGACCTTTGCCGACCCAAGCATATTTTTCACCTCCACGCTGAATGCTGGACACGCGTAGAAGTTTGAGTTCATTAAGAACCAAGATACAATTGACTCTGTCCAACAATTTGTTAACCCGAAAAAAGTATATTTTCCGATTTGATAATGCTTGCTAAACGCAAAGGTTAAAATATGCTGTTTGTAATAGTCAATTTTCTAAGCTACAGCATTTTGTTGCATCACATTTTAATCTCGGCTTTGCATTCACGTGGAGGCTTGTTGTATCTAACAAAAACTTATTCTGTAATTCAAGCCACTAGATAATTTTTCTATAAGCATTATACCCATGCTGAAAAAACAAGGTTCGCCCGGCACTCGAACCCAAAAACTTGGGATGCAAAGGCGATCGCGTTAACTTTAGAACAAGTGCGTTAAAGCTAGAAATGCTAAAGTTCAACAATAAAGCAAGTTCAATTTCTAACAGATTTTTGAGAGAAATTGTTTACGGGAATAAGTCTAGTTCCCGATACCAAAACACTCAAAACACTAATATGGAATAAATTTAAACGCATATTTAAACGCTGACTTCACTTAACAGTTAAAGCGATGCAATATTTTGGCATTTTGCCAGCACTGGGATTTTTTTTATTATGTGTCAAAAAAATCAGCGATCACATTAGAGGCCCAGCTAAAGCTGCAAGTAAAGGTTTGATTTTTTGAAATTGTTGTAAAATGGGTTATTTCAAAAATTGGGCTTCTTCCAAAAACTTTGTTTCTCTAATTAAAAAAAGTATGAGTGAAACTTTTTGAGAATTTGGATTTTTCCTAAAGATATTTCTCTTTCAAAATTAAAGGTATAGCCACTTTACACGGAGTCTTCCCTGTTGCATCGATTAAACCCTTTATATCGGATTCAGTAGTATACTTATCGAAAACTTAAAAAAATTCCACGCAGAGGCGAAGCCGCAGTTCGCACGCACGAGCAAAAATATGACCGATAACGCTACTGGGAAAAACTGAATGAGTAAAACTTAGAGTCTACAAAATTCCTTAAGTGACATTAGCAGTCAATTTGAAAAAAAAAAGAAACTTACCAACTAACATGCCTCAATTTAAAGAACCGACGCATTTTAACTGGTGTACAAAAAAGTTCACTAAAAACATCCGACCCTGCCCAGGTTCGATCCCTCTTATTTTTTTCGGGTCTCCTTCCCAAGCTCTACGCTGCAGATCTATGATAACTTGAAGCTAAAGTGCTATTTGTAATATAGTGTTAATACCCTTAGCATTGGCTGCACTTAATAGCTGGTTATTAATCAAAATGAACACTTTCAAAATGAACACATTTTGTCGCAAAAATATTTGGGACTTCGGATGGAAAAAAATGAGTTCATACGATAGCAAGCTTTGCTTGTGTGAAAACAGTCAACAAATCCGAAATTAACTTTTCCGAGGGTCATAACTTTAGGTACAAAAAATTTGGCGTAGCCATTTATGCCGGGATTATTCCCACAACATTGCTATTCGGTTAAGCCCGAAGTATCCCAAATTCGGAAGAGTACTTTTCGAGATGAGTCGAAAAATTTCCAAAACACGGTCAACAAATCTAAAATTTGACCCCTCCGAGGGTCATAACTTTTTGAGTAAAAAAAATTGATCGTAGCCATTAATGTAGGGGTGTTTTACACAGCCTGTTATTTTAATTGAGCCCGGAACCTAAAATTCTGGGGTACTTTTCGAGAAAAATCAAAGTTTCAAAAAACGGTTAAAAACGACTTTTGCGAGAGCCATTAATTTTCTGTAAATAAAATAGAGCGTAGCTGCTCAAGCAGGGGAGCTTCCCGCAACCTATTTTTTCCGATTGAAAATCAAAATGTTTCGAAAAATCAAATATTTGACTCTTCCGAGGGCCAGTAATTTTTGTGGGGAAAAAAATAGGCGTAGCCGCTTAAACAGGGGAGCTTCCCACAACCCGTTCTGTCCATTGAAACCAAAATCTCAGAGAAAATGCAGTTTTTGAGAAAATGAAAAAAAAAACATAAAATCCAAAGGCTGGAGAAAGTAAAGTGGGGTAAGGTAAAAAAAGACTTGCGGATTAAGCAAGCAGAGGGGAAAGGGCGGACTTTCCATTGGTACCATTTTTTGAAAATCGTAGAGCAGTTTTTGAAAAACTCAAAGCATCTTTGTTTGTAGATGCTTTCTTCGCAAAGCATCTACAAACAAAAAAAAACAATAAAAAAAACTTGATCCCATACCTTTTCATAAAACCAGTTTTTATCAAACAGGACTTTATGAAACTTCGCGGTCTGAAACTAGAGACTCCGTGGAATATAAGAAAATGAAAAACCTGCTAAGGTTCGATTTACTTGATTTTTAAGGGAATCAAAATACAAAAATTTAGTTAATTATTGATTATTCCATTGTTCGATTAAAAAACTGTATGATCTTTTTTTTGCAGATTACAATCAACTGATTAGACTCGAATAAAAAGCAAAGATTCACTTACTGATGTCAAATATCAATTTTCCGGAATTGATCGCTTTTAATCTCTTCAAACCCTCTTGGAAAAAAGTTTTAATCTTTTTGTAATCTGGTTCCTGTTCGTACGCCATAGATTTTACACTTTGTAAATATTTTTCCAGTGTACTGTCAACTTTTGGCGAGAAAGCCGACAGCGAATTGGATAAGGAAGAATAAAACTGTATTTTTGCGGCGCTGACAGAATTAGGGTTAGACAAAACGTGCAGCCATGGTAAGGATCCCGTTGTCCAATGAAGCAGAACGTAGCCAAGTATTTCAAAGTCTGCTCGTCTCGATGATTTCACACCTGTAAGACTAATGTAGTTCAACTTCGGATAACATTTCGCAACTTCAAATTATAGCTAAATCAGTAGCTTCAAAAATACCTTTATGCGCATCAATGCTAGTGTATTCTATTGTACCATCATGTGCCTTCCTTGGATCTTCTTTGTAAGGAATGTGATTTCCATTGGGCTTATAGCGCGACGCCAGCCCATAATCCAATAAATAAACTCTGTCACCTCTAGCTGGATCAAGTAAAATATTAGCACCTTTAATATCTGCGTGTACAAACTCATGCGAATGCAGATATTCTAGAGCATCAATAAGGTGTATAGCAATTCTATAACACGTTGAAACAGGAAAAATCTTTTTCTGTTCAAAAAATTTCTGAATGTCACATCCAAATTTTTCCAAGACAAGGAAACGCAGGGGCTTTTTTGAAAATTCGTGCGATCCAAGAGCATAGAGTTTTGGTACTCCAAGGTAAGATAATTTTTTCATTTTTACCCAGCTGTCAATCATTTCCACCTTTGCTACACGTTGGTAAAAATTGATTTCAACAAACAGCGGTCCATTATCTTTGGGCTCCACTTTCAAGGCAAACTCCTGATTTCCGAAGCTACCGTCTTCATTTTTGCATGAATATATTGCCCCAAAACCTCCTTGCCCGATAGGTGATTTAACTTGCCAGCGTTTTTTGAAAACATCAGTTAAAATCGTGCCCGATGGAAGTGGGGGCGCAAGAATATGATTGACTTTTGCTTTCTTCGGTGGCATTACTCAGGAAGGTAACATGACATTGGTAACATCGATTTCTTTAAATGCATCTGACATTTAACACAGACGCGAAGCAGAGCTTCGCGCCAGTTGCCATATATCACAAACATAGCATGACGAGCTAACCGACTCAAAAATTAGACTAAAACCCTAAGTTGAAAAATTAGTGGGAAAAATATCGCAATTTACACGCATAACATCCCAGTGGACAAAATAAGCCAAAACTCAGGTTTTTGCAGTAAGACTTTTACAAAGACATAAAGCAAAAGGTCAGAGCAACCCTTTATGAAACTATCATTTTTTGATTATTTTATTGCTGAGGAAGCGCTAAATGCAGCTTCCATACTAATTTTTCTTGTGGTAAACCTGGTTTTTTAGATTATTGACCAATTTGATACAACGAACGTTACCCGTTCGGGTTAATCGCTCAAAATTAGACTAAATCTCAAGTGAAAGTGAAAATTTAAAATGTTGTTCCAATCACGATTGAGAGGTATTCAATTAGATATATCACGCGACCCATTCCGATGATTATTTGAGCGGCGTGACTTTGCGTGGAAAACAATAAATGAAAAAAAAAACTGAAACACACCCGCATACAAAGTTCCTTCCCAGTTTCGATGGTCGGAATAAATAGTAGAAATAAGTCTTGTAAACAAAATTTTTCTTATGTTGAAATCAACCTTACGACTTGAACTCTCGCGATCTTGCATCTCCGCCATGATCGATTGTAAATTAAGCTACCATTAAAACAGCTACATTTGCTATTAAATTGTCAAGGCTATGCAGAAAAAAGGGTAACCAAACAAAGAATAAAACAATTTAATTGTTCAAGATATCAACCTCCGACCTGAACATTAGAAGTCTCACGTCCTCGCATCTGCGGTACGGTCGCTAACGTTCTAGAATATATTGTAAGGACACGACGGTAAATCGTAATAGGTGAAAATATGATTCCTTCAAATAGGCTGAAACAATTCTTGAAAATTCGTAAGAGCTCATAACGCCGCAGATACGGAAAAAAATACTCAAGGAAGGGCGGGCTAAAGTCAGAAGTGCGACTTGGGAATTCACACGACCTTCGCATATTAATTTCATTAAATAATCGTGAGTTTCAGCTGCGATCATTGTACGCCCATAAAAAATTGGACTTCTCTCAATTCCAGAGCGGTTTCGCTACCAATATGCCAGTCGGTCATATTGAGTTTTCTTTTGGGATTTAAATTTTTTTAAAACTCGAAATGAACAGTCATGCCTGAAAAAAACGAGTCTAAGTTCACGCCAGTTCAATTGCTGATCACAAATGGCATATCTGCAGAATTCACGAGAAGAATTGTCTGCCTACTGTGCCATTCCCCGTATTGGCACAGTCGAACCCTCCGACGAGAACGAAACCAGGAATTTGCGACGTTAGCTACGAATTCGTTACGAAAAGGAGGGTAGGAATATTCAGAATTAAAAACTTTCGATTTAGACTGGAGCATTTCTGAGAAACGTGAAAACGGCCATTTTGACCAGAAAAGGACAATAAGAGCAGGGAGAAAGGAAGGTTCGATGGGACAGCCGAAGCGGATCCGTACCCTCCCGTACCACGAGATTGGAGGGATAACGACGTTGTCTCTGAGGAAAAACGGAATTGGAGGCCCGGTGCCCAGAGACTTTGTGAAACTATTAAACGTATTTTTTAGCTACTAATGATGCCCTGAATACTTGAATTAACTCCGATTTTACATAGTATTGCAGAGCACGAGTAGCTAGAGAGAAGGAAAAGTCAATCTATCCCCCAATGGATTTAATATATAACTGTCACTAAAAACATAGTAAATGATGGAATCTGAGCCGTGTTTTTAATGGTACTACTACTACTACGGAAAGAATTAATTCCCTTTAACATATGTAAAGGCATCATACAGATTGTTGAAAGGCTATTTACATGGTGTATCACATTAATATAGTGACACGGCGAGCAACAAATTACTCAGCACTTAATCAAGTATTAAATATATAATCAAGGTGTACTAAGAACGGCAATTGATGCAATTACAGGCCAAAAACATAGTACAGGAGTTGTTTAAATCAAATGAGTTAACCCTCGCTTGCAGATAGTTTTTGAGTGAGATGCAAAACGTTTTAGGAGATGCAATTACAGGCCAAAAACATAGTACAGGAGTTGTTTAAATCAAATGAGTTAACCCTCGCTTGCAGATAGTTTTTGAGTGAGATGCAAAACGTTTTAGGAGATGCAAAAAAATCTGTAATATCATTGGAATATAGCATGTTTACATATCGGCACACGCGATAGAAGAACTGCTCGGTGAAGAAGAGACGACAGTTCTTGGTTGCTGTCAGTCCAGGGTAGGCAGTGTTACGAAGATTGTTGGCGGAGAAGGTAAAATTAATGAACTTGAAAATCGAATTTCTCATTAAGCACTTTATTGAGGAAAATCAAGTCCTATAATGCAATGGAGAAACATATTGGCAGGGAATTGGTCACCTTTAATTGCTCAGTGTAGTCACTGAGACCCGTCACCCATTTCAGACAATTTTTGTTAAACAGTTCAAGTTTACGCCTGTAAAGTAAGGAAGGAAACTAGATTTAACTGCCGTAGAGAAGGACACTTCTTATGCAAAGTTGATAATATTTAAACTTGGTCCATAGTGAGACGCTGTATGGAATAGAACGTTTGATAAAATGAAAAGATTTCTCACCGCAATAAACTTCAAATTAAGATGGTTGTCCCATTTCAAATTTTGAAAAATTGCGACACCGAAATACAGTTTACTGTCATCAGCGAACAAATAACAGTCAGAAGTTAAAAGAGCATTTGGCATGTCATTAGTAAAGAGAACAAACAATAGTGGCCCTAAGACGCTGCCTTGCGGCACTCCACTAGTAACATACCCTATCCAAGAAGATATATTTTCAATCATTACAATTTGAGTACGATCACTCAGATACGAAGAGAAAAGCTCGAGAAACATGTAATCAAATCCAAATTTAGCCAGTTTGTTTAGTAGAATATGATGAGTTACTTGATCAAAAGCTTTGCAAAAATCGAAGTATACTGAAGACTTTCTAGATTCGTCTCATTATTTGAATTAATTGTATTGATTACAACCAGGTATGATTACAACCAGGTAATCGCGTAGTCTGGGAATCCGAGACCCAGCTATGGGGTTATCTTCGCATGTAACGAAAGCTGATCGAAAGTCGTTTGACGGATGACCTAAAAATGGTAACTTTTTACTTAGCCCTAAACAGACCAGAAAACTAACAGGCTAGGTCCAGACGGTGAAAACGAGTAGAATGAAGTTAACTGATGCCTGCAGGTCGTCAATAGGTGCTTTTTCTACGCTCCGTCACTGTGTAATCTTTGAGCGAATAATACATACCGACAGAGAACATCGGAAGTGGTTTCGGCAAGCAGTGCTCCATAACTTATTAGATAACAGTTAAGATGAACGGCGCTAAATCTCGATGGTGGCTTGCATGATTACAATATCGCACGTAACCCGGGCTTGAGCCTTATGACAGAAAACGGAGCAGAAGTGTTTCCTTTTCCTGACAAATCCTCTTCCAGACCTCGATCCTCATCAGCAGCTAGGAGTAATCACAACACAACAGACCGAAATTGAGTATCCAGGCATGACCGGACCGATACGAGAGTTTGATAATCTCCGTATAAGCCTAGACCAGATGCGTGAAGAACGAGATCAGATGCGAAAGGAGCGAGATAAGATTCACCTGCAGCGATCGAGAACATGTGAACGCATGTATAGACAAGCTATGGTTGAATTGAATCGACTGCGAGTAGAGCCAACCACACAGAATAACTGGTAAGGAGCTTTCCGACGAGTATACCTAGGCCTTCCACGGTCCTTTTTTTTATAACTGCCCGGTTTAAGGCCTGAAAGCAGCGGATCGAGTGGCGCAAGAATTGTCCACATGAGGACACCAGCGTAAGCAACTTTAATTAATGTTCACAGCCTGTAGTAGTAGTAGTAGTAGTAGTAGTAGTAGTAGTAGGGATTTAGTGTTTCCACAAGAGGTCCAGGCCCCTGTCATCCTTCACGTCTCATATCGCGAGTCTAGTTCTACAATTGTTTGTCGCACAATCACATGCGAGCTTCCATGTGCATTTATTTCTTTCGTCATAGAGTGCAAATTTTTTCCAGAACACTTTGAGCAGGGCGCCTTTCAGTCCAGACCAATTTCGCAAATCTATTCTAAGTGCATTGGCAAGACGACATGTCTGGTAAAAGAAATTTTGTTCACACCTGTACTTTGATGGACGCTTTAGCTGAAACATAGGATAGCGAGAGAAATCTATGTATTGTGGAACATCAATCATATAAGTATCGTACCGTTTCAAAATTAATTTTGCCAGCAGTAACAGGTTGTTCAATTGTATGTACATGGGCAGTGGTAAAATTTGTAGTCGTTTAAGTTTATCTTTGTAATTGGTATGTTTACTATGCAAAATCCAATTTACCGCCCTTTTTTGAATTATCTCGTATTGTGTCATGACGTATTTGTTTAGACCTATGCAAGAACTAGCATACATTATTACGGGAATGACCATTGATTTATACAGGTTTAATTTTGCTTTCCAGTGTAGATTTGATGTATTCCTCTTTATCATGAAAAACACTCTGTTTGCCTTTACGCATGCTTTTTCCATATGTTGGCTCCATGTTAGATCATTTGATACGATTAGTCCAAGTCTACATGAGCTATTTGTTCATTATTGAAATTAAAAGAAAAACGATTTTTCTCAAAATTCAGGTGCGTACATTTATCTACGTTGAAAGGCATATAATTTTCCAGGGTCCATAGATTCACATTGTCAAGGTCTTTTTGAAATTCATCCCTCCACAAATTTATGCTAAAGAATTTGGCATCGTCTGCGAATAATAATGGTATAACTGTATTGCATTTGTCAGGCAGGTCATTTATGAAAACCAAGAAAAACAAGGGTCCCAAAATACTGCCCTGGGGTACACCGCTCGTTACTTTTTCTGAATTTGATATTTCGCCATTTACTCGTACGACTTGAGACCTTTCTGTTACGTATGATTTAATTGAGGACACCAGCGTAAGCAACTTTAATTAATGTTCACAGCCTGTTACTCCTTGAACGGCCTACTTCGCATAGAACATGCATTCAAACTGTGTGGTTGTTGTAGCAAATTACAAGAAGAAAACACGGGTCTACTGTAATTAACATCGAATCAATAACGAGACTTAGGAGCAAAGAATTCGGAGATTGGCGGCCTTTAAGGACTCATCTTGAGCTTGTTCAAACTCGCCTATCAAACTGGAGGGTACAGTGCATCTGGTAGTTGGTGAAATTTTGGTCAGAATCATGTAAAATAATATAGTTTTACGTGCAATTAACCGTATCTACCAGAGCCAAATGAAGTTGGTCTTTTGTAAGTTTTGGACAACACACCTGTTACCGTTTAAAGGCTGTCAGTCAAATGAAGCAAACTAACTGATTTACAGGCAGTAACGTATGCTCATAAGCAGCAAACCCAAACCACGAGGTTACTCCAAAAAAAAACATTTAACTTTTCTGTTTCAATTAGAGGAAAATCCACCCCATCCATCGGAATTGGATTGACCTGTTCCTCACTCCTAGCTTCTCATATTCCAAAAATGATTTGATTTTGTAAATTTTTTTAAGACATAAAGAGCTATAATTTCAGATAACTAAAAGTTTGTTATTAAACAGTTCTCAAGTCAAACGAGAGACTCTTCCAGTTTCTCAATCTTCGCAGCGGCGTTACTATTTTTGTTCATAGGCACGGTAACGATTATTATTACAAGTGTTATTTCTGTGCCAGTCGGTCATATTTGGAAGTTTGACCTTGAGAAAACGTTTAGTCTTGATTTTGGGGTGAAATGCAAATTTTCAAAAATTCGAATTGAGCATGTCATGCTCAGGTTTCTCGCGACAACTGAAAGTACCAGAAAATAAGATCAGATGAACCGAACTACAATCGCGGGAAAGTAGTCAATAAATAGCAGCGGGAAATTGCTATTCGCAAATTCCAATACATAATTCGAACGAGAGTAGAGCTGTCTTATTCTCGGCAGAAGACGGAAAGTGATCGCGAGTAGAGAAGAAGGAAAATAGATTGGACCAGAGTGAACCTTCGGTGGAAAGGTGGACAGCTGAAGCTGCCCAATGGTCCAGATCAAACCTTATTTCTTGAGTTAAAACTTGTTTATTTCAAACTTCTCGAGTTAAACTTAATTACCCAATCATATCTCGAGTTCCTTCATGATTTAGTTACTCGATTCTAGAGGTCGTGTCGTTTTGTGAGTACCTAATTTAATTTTCTTGAGTGTGTTTTATATTGTTATGTTGAGTTAGGGAGAGTTTTTAGGTTGATCCATCTGACTAGCTAATGTTGAACTGCTCGGTGAAGAACTGCTCGGTGAAGAAGAGATGACAGTTCTTGGTTGCTGTCAGTCCAGGGTAGGCAGTGTTACAAAGACCGTTACCGGTGAAGGTAAAATTAATGAACTTGAAAATCGAATTTCTCATGGAGAAAGATATTGGCAGGGAATTGGTCACCTTTAATTGCTCAGTGTAGTCACTGAGACCCGTCATCCATTTCAGACAATTTTTGTTTAACAATTCAAGTTTACGCCTGTAAAGTGAGGAAGGAAACTAGATTTAACTGCCGTAGAGAAGGACACTTCTTATGCAAAGTTGATAAAATTTAAACTTGGTCCATAGTGAGACGCTGTATGGAATAGAACGTTTGATAAAATGAAAAGATTTCTCAACCGCAATAAACTTCAAAATAAGATGGTTGTCCCATTTCAAATTTTGAAAAATTGCGACACCGAAATACAGTTTACTGTCATCAGCGAACAAATAACAGTCAGAAGTTAAAAGAGCATTTGGCATGTCATTAGTAAAGAGAACAAACAATAGTGGCCCTAAGACGCTGCCTTGCGGCACTCCACTAGTATCATACCCTATCCAAGAAGATGTTTTTTCAATCATTACAATTTGAGTACGATCACTCAGATACGAAGAGAAAAGCTCGAGAAACATGTAATCAAATCCAAATTTAGCC